TAAAAAAAAAAGACCGAAAAAAATAGCAATACCTTCAACGCACAATGCTCACAAAAGTAATGCTTGCACCTAGTCACAACGGGATCCACAAAAGGTTCCCGACATATAAAACACGCAAACGGCAGTGCATCCTCATCGTCGTCGCTCGTCCCCCCACCCCTCCCCTCGTCATCACCATCATCATCATCATCGTCCTTCATCCCCATAGCCATTTTTCTCATCCGCGCCTTCTCCTTTTCTTCCCACTCCTTTTCCAGTTGCCAGCCCGACTTATAATCACCTCTATCATGCATAAACTTGCAAGAATCCCCATATCCACAATAACCTGTCTCTTTATAATCTTTGCAAATGTCAGGCTGATAGTCGAATCTTGCAGAAACCCTTATGTGGGCCGAGGCCCTAAGGGGCCCATGGGCCCCACCAGCCTTCTCACTCGCGACCGTATGCTCTCTCCTGAACCCCGCCTTGTAGTCGGTGTACCCGTGCACGCCCTTATATAATTTTTCTGATCCGTCAGCTTTGTTTTTACCCTTAAGGGCCTCCTCAGCTTGCCTAAGGACTCTCTCTCTGATTGCCCGTGCGTCTCTAGAGAACTCGGTCTCAGTTTCCAGGGTAGCCGTGGCCCGATTGTCATTGTGGACCTGGATATCTCTGGATGACTCAAATTCGAAAACCGTGGCTTTGGGTTTATCCACCTCAGCTTCTTTCGAGGTCTTTGCCGGTCCACTTGAGAAGCGGAGCTTGTTGTCGGGAGCCGCTTGCTTCTTCTTGTTGATGACAACTGTGGATTCTTCATCCTCGCCAGTTCCATCTTCAGTGGAGGTTCGTTTCCTAATGTTCTTTCCCTTTGATGGCTTCCGGAAGAAATTGCACACTGAAATCGAAGAAGTTCGACTTAAAATGAAATGAAAACATGAGAAAAGTATGTAACACTTCCAGAAAATGAGAAAATCGACTCAAAGTTGAAATAATTGGTAGTGGCTTTCCAACAAAAACAAGAATATTCACAAATTTTCCAGCTAAAAGATCTAACTCAACATAAACCAGAGTCGTTAAGGAAATTCACGCAAACAATAATTCAGAATACGAACAGCGTTGAAGAAACCCTAATTGCGAAAGCGGAGGAAAGAATCAGCACATACCAGTCGGAGCTTCTTCCGGCGCGGCGGAACCACCGCCGGCACCAACTGGTTCGTTATCCGGCATCGTCTGGCCAATCCGTCCTCTTCCTCTATTTTTCTACTCCCCTCTTCTTTCTTCTTTCCTCCTTGTTTGTTCTTCGTTGATGTTCTGAAAGTATTCCTTATAATTTTAGGATTTTGGTAAGAACTCTGTACCAAAAATAAATAACTATTATATAAAAAAATATAATTAAAAAAATAATTTAATAGTATATATCTATATCTATATATATATAATTGCTAGCTAATCATTAAATAAAACCTCATAAATAAAACATAATTAATAAAACCTCATTTATTTTCCCTCTAAAAGAAGTTACAAAATTTGTCATTCATATTTGGCCTTTCACATTAATACACCCCCATTAATGTAATCATGTACAAAAATTAATAACATTAACTATTATATAATGTAATAGCCAAAAAAATAGCATTAACTACTACTATAATAGTAATAATAATAATAATAATAATAATAATAATAATATCTTGAAACAATAAAATTGTTTATCTTATGTAATTTATATTTAGTGTGAAATATTATGAGTTGGTAATAGCATTAACTATTATATAATATGATAGAAAAAAATACATGATTACACTTAATAGGGTGTATTAATGTGAAAGGCAAAATATAAATGACAAATTTTGTAACTTCTTTTGGAGGAAAAATAAATGAGGTTTTATTAATTAGGTTTTATAAATACATAATTACACTTAATTAGGTTTTATGAATATTATTATTATTATTATTATTATTATTATTATTATTATTATTTTTAATTTTATAATTCATGAAACAATTTTCTTTAGAAACAATTAGTAAATAGTTTTAATAGTATAGTAAAAAACTTTAAAATCTTATAAACAATTGTCGTTGTAATTACTATATTATTATTATTATAATAATAAAGTTTTCAAGTAAATTATTTGACCATGATCCCTCTAAATTATAAAAATTACATTACCCACAATTTTTTTTAATCAATATAGTGATTCATATGTACTCAAATAATTTATATAAATATTATTTTATTTTTACTAATGATTAAATCTTGAAAATGTGGTATGTCCATTATCTAGAATTTTAATATTAAATTCACATATCTTGAAAATGTGATATGTTTATTATTTATAATTTTAACATTAAATTCACATATCTTGAAAATGTGATATGTTTATAATCTATAATTTTAATATTAAATTCACACATATTACTTATAATATTTTATGTACATCTGTGCATGTGCACAGGATGATAACTAGTTACATTTATAATTGAATTATTACATTGAAGATCTTAGCTAAACTTTTATACATTAATAAAAAAGAAACATACAAATGTAGAATTTACCATATATTAATGAATATTGTTATACGGATATAATGAATAATATAATTGTTAACATAATTTCAATATTATAATAATAATTAACATTAAATTAAAAGTAAAAAAATATAAATTTAAAAAGGATAACATAAATCATATATAGCATATAAGTTGATATTTTTAATAGAATTATCGTACAAAATATATAAATACCATGTTCATATAATAAAATAAATGTATGTTTAGATTATTGCATCTACTAATTTTCCATTTATAAACAAATGCTTATAAATGTATTATTTATTATAAAAATATTTTATTATTATTAAATATAACAATCACTAATTACACATTAATAAGAATGTTTTTTTTTTT